CCCCTGTCCAGTCCTAAGAGTCTGGTTTGATGCTACCCATCCTTGTCTCATACTCTTTCCCCCACCCTCCAACCCCGTTCCACCCATCACCCCGCCCTTTGGTACCTTCATGAGAGAATCGTACATCTGGTCTGTGTTCAGCTGCATGTAGTTCCCGATGAAGGGCAGTGGAGTGGGCCCAGGGGGCAGCTTCCCTGCAAACTTCCTTTGTCTCCAGACGGACATCAAGACCATTACAGACAGGCAGGTCAGCAAAGCCACCAGCAGTAGCCCTGAGGCCAGCATGGTGGCAGAGCAAGTGACGATCAGGTAACAATCGATAATGATCAGGCTTGGAGTGGTTTGCCTTTATACTACCCGGGAGAGAAGGACAGGACGGACTTTGGTCTTGACTATTATGTAATTGTCTCATTTAACCTCCAGATCACACCCCACACCAGGCTCCTGCCTCACTTGGGGCAAAGTCAGGAGGGGAGGTGGGCGGGGACCTACCTCACGGTGGATTAACAGTGAGTGGGCTCCCAGACCTCAGTTGGTGGCACCTGGGAACCCCAGGGCTTTGGATGTGTGGGCAGGAGAGGCACACTTTCAAAGTGAATTATTTTGGAATATCTGCCTAGGGGAGCCTCTTAGTGGTGGATTTGGGGGGTCTCTGAAGAGAAGACTCCAGAGACTTGGTATTGAGAATTTGGGACTGAGACAGGGTGTGTGGCTGTGGGTTGGGGAATGGCTTTGGTGAGAAAGAATGTAGACCTAACGGTGTTTGGAGGGGAGATATCAGGCATATGGGTTTGAGGGTCTTGGCATGAGGAAGGACCTGCAGTTAGGGGCGTGGCGATGCGGAGAGCCCGGAATTACAGTGGCAGCCAGTTTTTGACTTCAGGTGGGGTAATCTAGCGCTCTGTTTTTGTTCAGAGCCTCCCAGCCCCACTGCCCAGCTCCGGTTAGGAAAGCCAGGGTAGATTCGTGTTTTCATGGGGTGGTCCACACAACTGGAGGAGGATTAACTCATGGTCTCTCTGTCACAGGGATCCAGCCAGGTCTTGGGAAATGACAACTTCTAGTATGGTCAGTGCCATCACTTGAGGAGTTTCGAGGTGGAGAATGACACTAGGTGGCGCTATTAGAGGGGCGACCAAACTCCAAACTCAATGCCATTGAGTCAATGCTGACTCATAGAACCCTCCCCCCATGGCCCCATGGTTTCAGAGACCATAACTGTTTATGGGAATAGAAAACCCAATCTTTCTCCTACGGAGCTACTGGTGGTTTCGAACTGTGGACCATGAGGACCATAGCCTAAAGTGTAACCGCTACACCACCAGGACACCATCTATAAAATGTTTGTACCATGTCTCAGCAGATATGTGAGTGTGTTTAACTAAACACATCTCCTGTGGTTCTTTATTAACATTTAAAACAGTTCCATAAGCCCAGCTTATATGCACCAATATACCTATGAATTTGCTCTTTGAACCTTCTAATGAGGCTGACCAGAGCTTCTGTTCTTCCCCAACAACAAGGAGTCAAGCAGTGTTGCCTGCAGGCCCGACAGAATGTGTTGTTTTCGTTGACCCTAGTGTTTATAGGGCTATTGCTTTCGTCCAACTCTGGTGTTTCAGCGACCCTAATGCGGCGAAGCATTAGCCATCATTTAGGAGAATGAAGTCATGATATGAAAGGAAAAACTAAAACCCTAAACTCACTACCAACTCATCGCGACCCCCTGTGGGTTTCTGAGACGGTAACTGTGTGGGAGGAGAGATTCCAGTGTTTTCCCGAGGAGCCGCTGGTGGTTTCGAACTGCTGACCATGCTGATCACAGCCCTGGGCATAACCCCGGCACCACCAGGGCTCCACAATGAAAGGAAAAGGAGTTAGAAGAATTTTTTTAAACAAGGCTTCTGTTCAGTCACTAAAATGGTGCAATTCACAAAAGCGAGCAATTTGTGACTGTATTTATCATATGTTCTTCTCATTATTCTAAAACCTGTAACATTACCTTTAGTGAATTCACAGCTCTATCGTACGATCACAATGGGTAATAAACATGACGGAGGATTCTGTTTGGTCTGTTAGGGGAGGACGCCCAGGGTGGTGGTGGGGGGAGGGTTGGCACCCCGAGTTATTGTCCTGGGTGACACTAGTGATGCCACAGAGTGTAGCACCAAAAAACCAAACACCTCACCAGTCTCAATGGTTATACAGTGAACCCTCGCCACTTCGCGCTTTGACTTCCGCGGCTTCACTCTATCGCGGTTTTTGCGTAACAGCGCATGCTCTGTTATTACTGCCACTGATTGGCTCATACTGTACACGCTTGATGCCATAAATAATATAATAAATAATAAATGATAATTGTAACGTCCAAAATGTTTTTACTGTATTTTCCCTTTTTCGTTTAATAAATTGGGTAATATGAGTGTAATGGTGACTAAAGGGTGTTTTTTCATGTCCTCTATGCTCTAACTACGAAAATATTTGATTTACAAATAAGGAATCCTACTTCGCGGAATTTCATTTATCACGTAGGGTCTAGAACCGATTAACCGCGATAAACGAGGGTTCACCATAATGTACAGAGTCCCATTGAAACTTGGTGGGAGAAAAAGGAGGCTTTCTACTCTGATAAAGCGTTGCCCACAGGGGTAGTCTGACTCCGCCCCCCAGGGTCACTGTGAGTCCGAATCTACTTGATGGTGGTGAGTTTGCTTGTGTAGGTATTGACACTGTCAGGAATAAAATAGGGCAACAGGGACAAAGATATGTACATTTCTTAGTTGGACACTTTGAGAGAATAGGTCACTGGGCCTGAAGTGGAGGGCCAGAGTTTGGAGGGACATTAAAGTCAATTGACATAGCATAGTGTACAAAGATCATGTGCTACAGCAGCGGTTCTCAACCTGTGGGTCGTGACCCCTTTGGGCATTGAACAACCCTTTCCCAGGGGTCACCTGATTCATAACAGTAGCAAAATGATAGTGATGAAATAGCAATGAAAAAAACTTTATGGCTGGGGGGGTCACCACAACATGAGGAACTGTATGAAAGGGTCACAGCATTAGGAAGGTTGAGAACCATGGCTATACATGCTACTGTGCTGATTAGTGACTGGGGTCTTAAAGGATCTATTGATCTATTGATCTCTCCCCATCTGGAGCAAAGAAAAGTGAGAAAAATTAAAGATACAAGGCAGGAGTCATGAGCCATGTAAACCCCACTCCACGAACTTGAAACAGAAGAACTAGATGGTGCCTGGCTGTCTCGGCTGGTCCCGCTGAAAGGGATCACGGCAGGAGGTCTTAGAGTGTGTGGAATGTGGGACAAAATTAAAAAATTATTTAAAAGGCCAGGCTGGTCTGCCAGAGACTGGCAGAATCCCTGAGACTATGGCCTGGCCTTTAGGTATTCTTCCAGCCTGGAACTGAGTCCCCCAACCCCACCCCCACCCCGCATGGCTCCACTTTCAATCAGATAGGCAGCCAGGAGAAAGATGAGGCTTTCTACTCTCATAAATGGTTACAGTCTTGGAAGTGGACAGGGGCAGTTCTACCCTGTCCTACAGGGTCACAACAAGTCTGACTCGACTGGATGGCCGTGTGTGTTTTTCTCTCAGGGCGAACAATTGTACCAGGGAGGTACCACACCTTATTAAGCATGCAAGATCAAAAGGGCACAGTTGCCACATAGAGCTCAGGAGGCAGGAACGTGATGGACAATGGAAATGGAACACACCAGAAGGAAGTGGGAAGAGTGCTGTTCCATCGTGGGCACGGACCAAAGGTGTATGAATTGTCGAAGGGAGGACCAAGGTGCTCTGCCAATCACAACAAATTCTAGGAAAAGAGTATTTGAACAAGAGAACAAGTTGCACTGAACTTGATTACAGGAGGACATTCATGTGGCCACTTTTCATGACTAGAGGCTGCTGAGAGTGGACCCAGGTGGCCATTGAAGTAGGAAGACATAAGGGTGGTATCATGTTGACTCTGAGGTTTGGCTCAGCAGGCCAACCTCAGATGGGTGCAAAGAGTAGACAATAATTGTGAGCCCAATAATTGTCCTCAACCAGGTCCGAAGAGGGTCCCAGATAGGCCCCTGGAGGGCTCTGAGGTTGGTTGGTTCAGGAAAGATCACAGTCAACTAAACCCGAACAAATGGAAGTGGGTGAGGTTGGCACTCCCAGGACTGGCATTTTGTTCAGAGTTTCAGGCTGCGAGACTCTGAGACTTGAGAGTAGGGAACAAAAGGCAGAGAATAAAAGAGGAGGGAGGAAAGGTGTTTGTTGTTTTTGGAGGGGGCTGATGTAGGTAAAAGGATTAGCATGGGCTTGGAAGGTATCAATCCCTCTAATCCCAATCACCAGCCTGCACCTGGGCTGGCCCCAAGCCTGGACCCCTCCTCTTCCCCCTTGTTTCTTGAGAAGAAGTGTGGTGGAAATTTGGGGAGTTTGTTTCTCAACACTGTTGGCACGAGAAAGGGCAATGAATGTTTAGGCAGGCTGCCATGAGCTGAACCATGGGCCAGAGGGTTAGAGCATGGGAGATCAAAGAACTCAAGTGCTTGGGGACAGAGCGATTCTGCTAGTTTGGCCTTGTTGATGCCCCCTGGATCATGGACTGAGGGAACAGTATCTGAAATCAGACGCCTTGCCTGCTGGAGGCAGGACCCGCGTCAGGGAGTGGTGGCTATGGGATGGATTCCTAGCTTGAGCTGGTGGTTGCCCTTCCTGAAGGGACCAGGAAGCGGTTAGGACAAAGTTAGAACATGGAGTGGGGTCCTAGTCTCACCCCCTTCCTTGATGTATGATCTTGAGCCAGTGACGGCGCATCTGAATTATACAGCAAAAGCAGCACCTACCTCTCAGGTTATTTTTTGGGGGTGGTGGGGTGGGGGTGGTTAGTGAATGGGTTATTGCAGGCAAAGCACTTGAGCCAGAAGTGCTCAGTGAGTGCTAGTGTTCTTGTTACCCTGAGGATAAAAGAGAGAGGCTTTTAAAACTCCTGCCATTTACATTCTCTGGTCTCAAGTTCCCAAAACCTTGGGAAGGGGAAAAGGAGAGGGGTGGTGGTGGTGGTTGGGAGGATTATCAGCCCCTCTCTTCCTCAGGACAGCTAAGGCATCCTATGAAGCTCCGGAGGAATTCTTGAGGGGTGGAGTGGATTAGGCAGTATCTGGAGACCGGGCAAAGGTCCCTGGGTAGTGTAAATAGTTTGCACTCAACTACTCATTGGAAACATGGTGGTTTGACCTTCTCCTGTGGTGCTTCAGAGCTGGTGAGCTGCTTCTGTAAAGATTCAGCCAAATGAACCCCAGGAGGCAAC